TGTCTGAGGTTCACAGCCGATAACAGATCTTACCACATTACGGCCCCGGAACAACGTCATATGACACCCACCCAGATCGGAGAGGGCTCAGGTAATCTTTTTTGCTCCTTCAAAGCAAAGTATAAGAAAAAATCCCTGATCACCCCTCCCCCCCCCCCCCCCCCCCCCCCAGAGTAGTAGAACATGATAACATTGTACTTCTCTGATAAAAGTATTTATTAAAAAAAAAAATACAAAAATGTTTTTAAAAAAATAAACTAAAAAATACAGTATTTTAAGGGGTCTTTTTTTTTTAACTACATTGCTCAAAAAAATTAAAGGAACACGTTTTAATCAGAGTATAGTATCAAGTCAATTAAACTCCTGGGATATTAATCTGGTCAGTTAGGTAGCAGAGGGGGTTGTTAATAAGTTTCAGCTGCTTTGGTGTTTATGAAATTAACAAAAGATGCACTAGATGGGCAACAATGAGATGACTCCCAAAACAGAAATGCTTTAACAGGTGGAGGCCACTGACATTTTTTTTCCCTACTCCCCGGCCTCATGGTGACAGCATGCAGGCAGTTCCTGGAGGATGAAGGAATTGGCCGCCACACTCGCCTGACCTAAATCCAATAGAATACTTCTGGGATATCATGTTTTGGCCCATCTGACACCGCCAGGTTGCACCACAGACTGTCCAGGAGCTCAGTGATGCCCTGATCCAGATCTGGGAGGAGATACCACAGGACACCATCTGTCGTCTCATTAGGAACTTGCCCCAACGTTGTCAGGCATGCATACAAGCACGTGGGGGCCACACGAACTGCTGAGTACCATTCTGAATTGCAGCAATGAAATTTCAGCAAAATGGACTAGCCTGCTGCATCATTTTTTCACTTTGATTTTCAGGGTGTCTTTGAATTCAGTCGTCTGTGGGCTGATAATTTTCATTTCCATCAAACAATGGGGCATCCTTACGTTCCTAACACATTACCCAGTTAATATCAGTATAGATATCCAGCATATTTTTCCCCATTGAGATCTTTTGTGTTTTCAAAGTGTTTCTTTAATTTTTTTTAAGCAGCGTACTTGCCAATCACCTGACCTCAATGTGTGGGCAAGCGGCAGCTCTGAGGAAAGTGATGTACCCTTGCATCGTTTTCTATTTTGGGGTGTAAACGCACCCTCGTACCCTGCTGCCCCCCCCGTCCCGTTGGTCCAGGGAGAGAAGAGAGAACACCACACTGAGTAAAAGCTCTACACTGTACACACACACACGCTAGATTAGCACATTTAACCCTTTGATCACCCCTTTTAACCCTATGATCACCCTATCATCCAGTACAGTGTCAGTATATAGAATTTTTCACTGATCACTGTATTACTGCCACTAGTGACATCAAATAGCATCAGGGTCTGTAAACTCCTCTCCTATCCAGGGTTAGCTAGCGTTAGATTGCCCGCACCCTATTGCACTCACGCTATAGGTCGCTGATCACCGCCATTACTAATATAGTTTGTATGGATCAATATAATCATGAACATAACTATACTAGTGCCTCCTTTGTATAGTGTTCCCAAAAACGCAGTGTTAGCAGGATCAGCCCCATTCACTATCAGCACTATAGCGTTTAGCCCCTTCACTTTTTTTCATGTGCCAATATATACCAATTGATTGATTGTGGGCCAAAGCAATTTATACACACAACTATATATATCCACTCACCCAAATTCAGCTCTTGCCAGACCTAGCCCTCAACATGGGCATTACAAACAAGAATGAATTGCAGTCATATTGGTCTACAGACCTGATTCATCATATGCCCATGTTCTCTGCTGTTATACATATTCCCAACAAGGACCAACAACATGCTGGTACATCACTGGTCTTTGAGTGGTTATACCGGGATGATGCCTGCAGCTACAGGCATCATCCTGGTATTGTTTTTTTTTTTTTCAGCTGGCGGTCGGCTTTCGTGTAAAAGCAATCCTAGCAGATAATTAACTGTTGGACCGCATTTACAAGCAGTGGGTGATAATAAAAATGATTAAAAAAAAGAAAGTGACAGTGTAAAAAAAATAAATAAATAAAAATAAAACAAAAATGTATTTATTTTCGTTTTTAAAACCCTGTGAAAAAAGTATATCTAAAAATACTCACCATGCTTATTATCAAATTCCTTGGGGTGTCTACTTTCCAAAAGGGGTTGTTTGTACTATCCTGGCATTTTAGGGCCTCCAAAACTGTCATAGGTAGAGAGAAAGTGATATGAGATGTACAATTTGGGGTTGCTTCCTTGTGGAGATGTGAAGTTGCTGTTCTTTTTGTCACATTCCATTGTCCTAGGATTCTTTTCATTACTATGGAAATATTCCGAGCCTTAGTATCCTGAAGAATTCTTCCATATAAGACAGTAACAGCATGCAACAAAAACCATACAGATACTATCACTATAACCCAAAGAGAAATACTACTCCAATGCAAAGAGAAAAAAAAAAAACAATGTACCTCTAGTAAGCACATACAATCCAGCACTAAAGGAATAAGAAAAATAATCAAAGATTTACAACCCTTCATAACAGAGGATGGAACTATGAAAGAAATATTCCAGCAACCCCCAACACTGGCTTTCAGACAACCCCCCAACCTCAGACATAAACTAATCAGTAGGAAACTTCCTTCTGAATATAATGTCACAAATAATGGAAGCAAACCCTTCAATAAAAAATGCTGCAAACTGTGCAACCAAATCAATCCATCAAAAAGTGTCAGACACTCAAAAGGAACCTTCAGTATCTCCGGTTCATACAGCTGCACCTCTAGTAATGTTGTGTACCTTATCTAGTGCAGAAAATGTAGCAAAGGAACTTATGTTGGCGAAACAGGGCAGACGTTGTGAACAAGGATGAATTTGCACAGACATACCATCAAGGAACATAAAGAAGATGAGTTCTGCACACCTGTGGGACACCATTTCTCACAACCAAACCACACAATGGGAGACCTCAATATCTTAGTTCTTAAAGGGATATTCAAAACTATTCAGGAAAGGAAAACTTTTGAACTGAGAATTATATTTCTATTTGATTAAAAAGATAATGGCCTTAATTTAGACATAGGTTTTCTCACTCATTATCCAACAGTTTTATGACCCCCTCTGTGACTGTCATCCCAACACCCCAGTGTTTGCTTTTGCTCTGTCCTATCTCTAGTTTAATCTTAGTTTTATAACCATTGCTGTGTACATTTGTTTGTGTGTGTTTTTTTTCTCCCTCACAGATTGATTCTTTTAACAGTAAAGTAGTACTGCTTGGACCTTGAAGTAAGGGACATACCCGAAAGCCTGTCCTGAAAAGTGTATGTTAGTGCAAATTTAAAAAGTATCATGGACAGTACTCAATTGTTTCTGTCACATGTGCACTAATATGGCTACAATCACCTCTGGCAAAAAAAAATAAACTCTTCCATGGACTCAACATGCTTCTCAGCAAATTATTTGGGGTGTCTACTTTCCAAAAAGTGGTAATTTGGGGGTTTCTGTACTGCCCTGGCATTTTAGCACCTCAAAAATTGTGATAGGCAGTCAGAGTGTAAAAGCTGCGTAAATTCCAGTACATATACATAGTTTGTAGACGCTATAACTTTCACACAAACCAATTAATATACACGTACTGGGATTTTTATTTACCAAATACATGTAGCAGAGTACATTTTGGCATAAATGTATGACTAACTTTGAGTTTATTTGGATATTTTTCATAACCGAAAGTAGAAAATCTTTTTTTTTTTTCTTTCAAAATTTTTGGTCTTTTTTTGTTTATATCACAGAAAAAAAAACAGTGGTGATAAAATACTACCAAAAGAAAGCTCTATTTGTGTGAAAAAAAGGACATGTATTTCGTATGGGTACAGCATTGCATGACAGTGCAATTTCTAGTTCAAATAGCACAGTGCTGAATAGCAAAAAATGATCTGGTCTGGAAGGGGGGTAAATATTCCGGAGGCAAGTGGTTAATCTGCAGAGGAGATAAGTCAGTTCTATTGTACCACCTAGCAGGGCTGTGTAAACCTCAGGAACAGATACAATAATACACATCCTTTGGCAGCTAAAACAGTTTGTGTTGATGTATGTCAACTTTTTATTTAGCTGCCTGAAGTTAAGTTTTTTTTTTTTTTTCGGTGCACGTTTACCACCAAAAAGCAGTGCCATTGCAGTAATGTAGGTATATGTATTGATTGCCCTTTCTCTATCTGCTCCAACATACCCTACATACATGTTTAGGATTTTGGTGAATTATCTTTTCAATGATAAATTTACTTTAGCAAATCTGGAACTTTTTCAGAGGTGTAAACTGCAGTAATACAATCTATGAACTTAATAACCAAAATATTACAGAAGAAGCATATAATAAGCATGCTATAGCCTGTTTACCAATTTTTCAAGATGGCATATCAACTTGGGAAGTTAGTGCAGAAAGATAATAAAAAGTATATACAAACCCAATTACTCTCTTATATAAATATTGCCATTGTATCATATTTTCAGAAATGATGCCATAAGGTTCTTGTGCAGACGCTTCCTGTTATAGAGACTACACTACACCTGTCTCCTAGCTGTTTTCCTGCATTGTCACCCTCCCACACACTCTCCATATGGAGGCTACAAGCTGCTCTTTCAACACACATAGTGCAGACATTATCCACTGTTGTCACCATTAATGTCATGCAGCCATCTCTGGAATACCTGCATGTAGAAAGAGGAGATCAGCAGCACTGAGATGCAACAAATGATAAAAAAAAAGGTGAAAACAGTAAAGAGTTACATCTAATGTATTTACAATATGTTTTTGTTTGTTTTTTTTATAGGAAGGGGGGTAATAATTGAAGGTTATATTGAATGACATTATTATTATTTATAAACCTTATCAGCTGATACTATAATAAATTAGTTTGTATAGTATAACTTCTTCTGAATTGGATTGTTACCTTTATAGTTTTGTGTTTTTTCTTTTTTTAGATACTTCTAAGGGAAGGGTGCAAAAAAATATTAGTATCAGACTCCTTATCGTTGCTAAATAAAATGCACAGGATACAGTCAAGATCTATGCTGGTTGATGGTATGTTAATTTTTTTTATTAATATTCTTAATTTTATTGTGTATGGAGTAAAGTGCTATATGGATTGAAAAGGAATAGGAAAGTGCATTGCACGATTTATTTATTTCTTATTTGATTTATTTTTTTTTGTGTATATGACTGGAGGAATAATTAAGATGGTGTTTTTAACTGAAGATTACAGGGATGAATGATATCTTTGCTTAGGTTCATCTCCAGCTTAGAGCTATCCTTCCTCTAAAACACCCCCTTCCCCCAAAGTTAATTTTAAAACATTTTCAGGGTACATACCTAAATTCTTGGTGTGTTCAAGGCAGTCAGGTGGGTCCTTCTTCTTTTCCATCAGCATCGGTGGTGGGCCATCCTCAGTGCTGTTTTTGAGATGTGCTAGTACTCTTCTGTGCAGTATTCTTTCATGAGCCCAGGCTGTATGAAGATGAAAACCAGGTAATGTGTCCATGGCTACTTTGATTCACAGGAATAGGGTAGAGTGACAATTTGGACATTCAACTTTGAAGAAGACTGGTAGCCAGAAGTGGAGGTGGATGTGGAGCACATACTTGCTAGTGAAAATCTTTTAAGATGGTCATGCACTGTTTGTGTAGTGCTTAACACACCAGTATGTAATATGTTTGGCACTGAGCATTCTCTCCACAGGACTTGTTGAAAATCCAGATAAGATTTCCATGCAAAAGAGGAAGAAGTTTACCTCTCCTAGGTTCTGTGTGTTCTACTGTTGCTCTCTCTTTTAGTGCTGCAGCCTCCACTGGGACTCTTCAGCATTCTGTACATTAAGGAATGTCGGATGCCTGTGTCCCTCGCAATGTACTTTCTAAATACAGTCTTTGCTTTACAAATAAATGTTTATTATATGACAAAGGATTCCCAAAGCACTATGGGTTAGAATTCTAAAGGCACTATGGGCCAGTTGAAGAGACATCATATCGCCTATCTGATTGAAACCTTCCAAAAAGAGATAAGTCATTCATCTGCTGACTCGTCAGGTGTGCATGAATTTCAGCTTGAACTGCTCTGGGCTCTGCATAAAGCAGACTTACAGGGTCAAAATAAAAGTAATAAAGCGCGCGCTTGTAAAATATGGTAAAAAAGCAGCTTGCATAAGGAAAACCCCTAAAATTCTCAAACATATATATATATATAATCAAGATGCAGCGCTCAAATAAATATTAAAGTGAAAAAGTGGTAATAAGCGTGTCAGGTAAGCTCAGCATCAATGGGAGATCCACCTGAAGTAACTAATTGTTCTTCAACCCTACCATTGAGCCCAAGATGTTTACCCAGGAAAATTCTTTCTGTCCTGCTACACGCACCCAGCTACTTAAGGTGGATCTCCCATTGATGCTGAGCTTACCTGATGCCGGGTGTAAGTAAAACCTACGAGCAGTTCCCACTACCTGAGAGGGTCCACTGAGAGGTCTGGAGTACATTCCCTGGGTATACCAAGCGCCATCGGAGTGCCACATCCCCACCGGGTTCCAGATGACCACTAGTGCCCTTTTTACTACATGCGTAATAATATTTTACGTCTGGTGAGTGCAAGCACACCCTTTTTTCCTTATCACGGAAGTCACGAGCACCTTATTATTATGCGATGCAAGTTTAATGGGAATGATCTTCCATACTTGGGAATACTGACACACCTTTTGAATACTTCAATGGACTTTTATATATTTATATATCATTTTTATGCAATGCAATGTGTTTACATGAGACGTTATACTGTTGTCACTTTATAATTAACTACCGTCTTCATTAAGACATCACATTTATATAACTTGTTAGCGCATAATTTTGCGCGCTTATTACCGCTTTTTCACTTTACTATTTATTTGAGCGCTGCATCTTGATTATATAGACTTACAGGGTTGATCTCCACTTGGGAACCCAAACCAGGATGCTTTCTTTTGTTATGGACAGGACATTCACTAGCTGTAGATTATTTTTGCTCTAATAACTAGGCTCTATTGCTCTATTAAGTAGTGACTCTCTAGTTTCTCCTCCCCCAATGCATCAGGTTAAAGTCCTGACACCCACTTCATTGCATTGTTCTCACTTGGTCAGGTTCCAATTATTCTCCACTAATAATCAACTGCTCCAATAATTATTTTTGCAAGACTCAAAGTGCTTGCCATATTGAAGGTAGGGATTCTCGGGGTAGGAAAGATCATACTTTTAATCTGTCACTAGTTAAAGCACAACTTCAGCCAATAGGGGAAGCTCCACTTGTTTGCCTCCTCTCCCCCTCCTCTTTAACAATTGGCAGGGGGTATCAGGCACCTCGTTTTGACAGGTACCCACTCCCATTTTTCCCCCCGATCCGAGCAGAAGTTCACCCCCTTCTTCACCCGCAACCTTATGGAACACATCACAGGTCCCAGAAGACTACAGGACCATTTACAAAGTGCAGCTCAGCGTGTGCATGCACAGTGGGAAGTTGGCTATGAAGCCATTTACCATTAGTTAGAATGCCAGTGCCTGGACCCGAAGCCCACTGATGATCGGGTGAGGACAGCGCTGAATCCCTGGACAGGTAAGTGTCCTTATATTGAAAGTCAGCAGCTCCAGAATTTGTAGCTGCTTTTAATTTTTTGGGGGGGAAACTGGAGCTCCTCTTTAACTTGTATCCCACAGACCCTTCTATGTACACTGCTACCTTGTACCGATACATTTCCCATCTTTACACAGGATCCTTTAATGGTGCTATGGAATTACAAGACAAGTCAACACATTTGGAAATGCAAACTTTGTTTCCAACATTACTTTACAGAAATGTTTTCTTTAACGGTTTCATGTCAACATGAACAGCAATCCATATCTCACATTTACAGTATTTTGCTCTTTCCATAGACATTGTTGCACACTCTCTGAATTCCATCTATAGATCACCTCAGTCAGAAACAAGTTTTTTTATATTAGGACTGATATATATTGACCAGGGGTATACGGCGAATGGTATCCTGCTTCCACAGGAACTCCTCAAATTGGGTCTATATGGTGACACAGTACTCTTCCAGTCTGGAGCATCTAAAGTGTCTCCTTCTCACAGCCCAACACCAACTCTCCACTGTCCAGTTCAAACAGCCTCAATACACTTCCATTAACCACTTCCCATCCGCCCTGTAGCAGAAATACTGCTACAAGGTGGCATAGGTGCGCAAAATCACGTGTATATATACTTGATTTTGCATTTCAAGGTAGGGGCCTTGGCTGTCAATCACTGGGCTCCGGTCGTAATTAATTACTCACCGGCGCCCAGTGATTTCCGAAGATCTCCGATGGGGAGGAGGACTGTTTTGTTTACTAACAGGTCTCCTCCCTGTCAGCTCGGGCACACTGCTCTGGATGGCTGTGCAAGGTACAGTCACCCAGAGCAGTATGATTACAGTAAAGCACATGGACACAGCCCCCTAGTAAAACATTCCCAGCACACAACCCTTTGACCACCCCTCATGTTAACCCCTTTCTGCTGAGTGCCATTAGTACAGTGTCAGTGCTTTTTTTTTTGTTAGCACTGATCACTGTATTGGTGTCACTGGGGATTTCAGTGACACCAAGTCAGTTCCCCTCAGTATCAGAATGTCCGCCGTAGTCCCGCTATAAGTCGCTGATCTCCTCCATTACTAGTAAAAATAACAAATAAAAAAAAAATTCCAGTATATATACCACCATTTGTAAACACTATAACTTTCACGTAAACCAATTAATTTACACGTATTGGGATTTTTTTTTAGCAAAGACATGTCGCAGAATACATTTTGGCCTACATTTATGATGAAATTTGTTTTTTTTTTTAAATATTTTTACTGGACATGTTTAATAGCAAAAAATCTAAATTATCTTGGTTTTTTTTTTCTCAAGACTGTCGGTCTTTTTTTTTTTTTTCCATAGCGCAAAAAATAAAAAATGCACAGGCGATCAAATACCACCAAAAGAAAGCTTAATTTGTGGGAAAAAAAGCACGTACATGTCATTTGTGTGCAGTGTTGTATGACCGCACAATTGTCAGTTAAAGTAACGCAGCGCCGTATCGCAAAAAATGGCCTGGTCAGGAAGGGGGGTAAATCCTCTAGAGGGCAAGTAGTCAAAACAGCTGTCTGTCCTGATTAGAGCAAAACATGTACTTAAAAAGAAAGCAGTTGGTGCCAAGGACTCTATCAGGAGGATAAGTATTTCCCTTAAAGGAACCCCTAATGTTCGGGGGGGGGGGGGGGGGGGTTAGTCCTGACCATTAGAAATTAGGAAGGTATTTGCTATTTTATAGATGTGTTCTATTTTTTTTTTCAGAAGACAATATTTGTGAAGCTTGCCTGTCACCGATTCTGCCAACAGGTACCTTGTTTCCTGTCCTTTTACACTTAACAAATAATAATAAGTAATAAAATCCTATCGTTTGTGCACACTTATTCCAGTTGAAAATTAGCAGTAGATTTTTCAGTTATAGGATAAACAAACCCAAGAATAAAAATGTTGTATGTTGCAGCTTACATTCCTTCGATGTGGTTTCTGCATTAGTTTTTTTTACTTTTAGCCAAGAATAGTTTTAGCAAGTACAGAAAATACCTGTTGATCTTGCTTGAAATGCAGTGTCTTTGTCACTTCATGTGACGTGCACTGAAGAATATCTTCTATCCTAGCCTTGCTCTGTGACATACGAATTGCCTTGCCTCCCACGTAATGAAGATGAAGAGGCATGAACATGTTCCTAGCCCATATCAGTAGAACAGCCTAGGGTGACAACCATGGTTCCCTCCATAGATGGAAGTGACGTAGCCACTCATGAACAGGACGTGTGTTATTTGAAAAATTACCAGGTGAAAAAAAAAGGAAAAGAATGTTGGAAGAAGAAAACAAATACAGCAACCACATTAATGACTAGTAAGCTGCAATATATTACAATACATAACATTTTTGGGTTTGGTTTTATATACACTTTAAATGGTGTGTGATAAATTATCTTAACATTCCAAGCACCGTGACTGTCAGCTAATATAAGTAATACACTTGCAAGTAACCTGTCCTGATATCTGACTTGTATAGAAATAATTAATTCTCTGTGATGATCCCCGGCTTTTGTTTTTACTGGTCATGATATGGATGTCTGACAAGTGGGGATTATTCTCCTGGATAACATTTCTACAGAGTGACTTTTCTGTATTTTCTCATTGGCATTGCAGTTTGCAAGAATTAGCATTCATCATCCCATGACAAGCATGCAACACAATTGTACTTTAGATTGGGAAAAGGAATTGAGAAAGCCTTGTCTTTGGGGCTTTTTCTAGAGATAATACAAACATACTGTAAGACTGCTAAGCAGGTTGTTTATCAACCATCCTATTGGTATTCATGTTACAAACACAGTTAAAAACACTTCATCTCACACTTCTCCCTCCACATATTGATGTATCTTTTCTTCTGCAGCTACAAGTGGCAAATAAAACACGGCCATGGTCTTCTTCTTAATGTATGTTTACTTATTCCAGTGGGAAAAAAGGAAAAGTCAAGATCATGGCTATAATTTTGTTTACTTCCTCATGTAGGAAGTTTTCATTCCCATACTTGTGAAGTGGGTTGTAATTATTACATTACCCTGTTCACAGGACCATACACTGACTTATTCATTAACCCCTTGACACCAACATTAACACATATATACAACATCACGTAGGTAGGATTGCTTTCATGGCACTGCATATATGAGGTTGTATTTAAGCTCTATAGCATGAAAAATCAAAGTGTGCAGCGCCACTATAATATTTCTGCATAAACCCATAGTGTGATAAACTAAGTTCTCAAAAATATAAGTGTTAGACACAGTCCACATAAGAAATGTAAAACAAGAAAAAGAAAGGGGCGCAGCAGTCTTGCGCATTACCTCAATACAAACTTTATTTATAAAAAGTGGCAGATATATGCTCACAAATGCCAAATAGACACAGGCATATTATACCCGACATGAGTCCATGGTCTGGAATACTGCATTCCCATTCCCTCTTCCTCAGAGCCTGATATGCCTGTGTCTATTTTGTGTTTGTGAGTCTATATCTGCCACTTTTTAGTATTGCGGTAATGCGCAAGGCTGGTGCGCCCCTTTCTTTTTCTTGTTTTATAGTGCTGTCTTGGGCTATCCCAGCCCGCAGGGGGCTGCAACACTGTATTGAATGCAAAGCGTCATGAAGATTCGTCCACATATACTAAATCTGGGATTTTGTGCGCAGGAGGTTTTTTTCTTCTTTTCAGTCACATAAGAAATGTCCCACTGAAGAATCTTGTAAAATCAATCTTCCACCTTCACAAGTAAAATCCCTCCTCATACAAAGTGTTCAGAGGTCCGACACCATCTCCTTGTGAATTCAAAACTCACTAAAACAGATGGCTGCCATTACAACAGTATATACATCAGAAATCTTCAAAGTGTATGCAGTGCTCCCCAGTATCTGTGTCCAAAAGTACCTCTCGATGGAATCGAGCTGGGATTAATAAAGCTCACCAGGAGCAAGTAAATCTCCAATAGTGTAGTATTTATTAAAATTCAGTATAAAAACACTCCATATAAAAACAAGAAATGAAGTCACTTACATGTAAAGGCTCTGCCACCCCGGGATCGTGCAGCAGTGTGACGTCAGCACTAGAAACTCCTCCCTATATTTTTTATAAAGCTCTATAGCATGCTCCCAGCAGAGAGACTGAACTGTTAGTAGGGTGTGTTTTAGAATTCATTTGGGCCTCCTCAGATTGGCGCATTTGCACAAGATTCATGTACCTGTGCCCGTCAGAGGCTGGCACTACTGTCGGAATGTCCAGTATGACTAATACTTCTGCAGTATGTGCCCCCCCCCTGTCCTGCACCTATCACACATAGGGGTTTTCTACTGGGGTGGGCAGAGCCTGGAGAACTGAGAGATTAGCTCCCCTTCAGGTCTGCTTTGCATTTGCTTGCATCTACAGATTCCCCCACTGCTGTACACTGTTAATCAAAAGCAATGCAGACCTGATGACTAGTCTCTCAGTTCCCCATCAGGCCCTTCATCATTTACCAAATAGGGACACCAGTATCCCCAACCTTTTTTGTCACATTCATCTTTCGGCCAGGGAATCACCCAGCCAACAGCAGAATAAAGCCTGGAATAATGACATTAATGACAGCTTCCCAGCTCAGACATGCCCCACTCTAGGCACCAGCTCCTCTATGTATACCAGCTAAGAGCTGATGTTAATCACTGCCAGTTTCCTAATCTGTGAACTGGCAGTAATTTTTTAGGAATCTGTCACAGCCACAGTAACAGCTTCTTGAAGCAGAATTAAACTCAGCAAGGTACTCCCCTTCCGGTGATGGGATGTTGTATCTCACCAGAGAAAGAATAAGGTAGCCCCAGAATTCATAGTGCATCAGAAAGGTCACAACAAATTTTTTAAATATAGGGGAATGCACAACCCTCCAGATCTTTATGAATACATGATAGAAGACACATATTACATTGTTGACAAGACATAAAAACATTTCTACACAGACTATTCTTCTCTGCGGAGTATATCGCCATCAAACATGATTATTTTTTAGTATACAGTCCACAGAAAATGGAACGAAGTCCCCTTAATAGTAATGAATTGGCTTGCTGCTTCACTGAAGACCCCTCAACGCATTTTGCAGGATCAATAATCTTCTTCCTCAGGAGGGCATGCAGAGAGGTCATATACTGCACTATATTGTATTGTGTAAAACATATAAGCCGGGATCACAACGGGCGACCAAGGGGCTCGAGATTTTCACCACCTCCAGCCCTGGGGAATGCGTCACCAGGTACCCCCCATGTGCAAACACGTGGAAATGTCCAGACAGGGACCCTACATTAAATTTATGATTTAGTGACTCCATATTCACTTCAGAATTCAGGCCCAGCATAGGAACAAGCCTCCAAGTGAAAAATACCACAGCATACGTCCAAGGTTAAGGAAAATCTCACTGGGTCAGGGGGTTGCCACAACAAACCCCCAAACACTGTTGTGACAAAGAAGAGTAACATCCCTCGAATCATCCTGGCATGCAGTGACATGTTACATCCCTTTCCAGTGGCTGACATCTTCTCCCTAGGCTACTTCTTAGAGTAGAAATACCATTTTGGGCCAGATTTCCTTTGATAATAGAAAACATTTTCAGGAGATATCCATTACCATTTACCAGCAAAAGAATGTCCAATTTGCCCTGAAATAGCAATATATATATTGAACCTGGATACACTAAATAGTTGCAAAGATATGTACAGTTTAACTAACACATGCCAAAGTTGCAAAACTGTGTTCAGGTATGTTAGGGTTTCTTTTGCCTTCAGGCATTAAGGGGCTAAAAAGTGCAAGGAACACAGAAAGGGTGATACCCATAGTCAATCGAGCAGAAACCATATTGTGCTGGTGTCAGGTTAGTAAAGTGAATCCTGGCTGGCTGCTCTAGGTTACTATGTTTTGCATGCTTTTGAAGATGAAGAGTCAGATTCAAAGACATTTAACAATGGTAAATAAGAATTCTGCGTATCTTTTCAGTAATGAGCCAACACAGTTATAAACAGTGAAGACTGAATCTCCAGATACCTGCATAAGCCCAATTGTATATAAAGAGTTATTTCACCTTTACCAAAAATGATCAATGTAGATAAGGGGTACCCAGGGGCGGACTGGCCATTTGGAAACTCGGGCACTGCCCGAGGGCCCGGGATCAGTAGGGGGCCCCATGAGATGCACCGGGAACCTTTTCCATAGGCTTTTTTGAGTTTGGGCAAGGACACAGGGGGCCCCCATGATCCCCTATTGCCCGGGGGCCCTATGAGTTGTTAGTCTGCCCCTGGGGGTACCTGTAGATAAAAACAAACTGTGCAGCATCGACCAAAGTTAAATAATGCCCTTGCTATAGGTGTAGGCCATTTGTTTACCTTCTGAAGCCTAAAAAACTGCCAGAGATGGCATCCCCCTGTCCTTACTTGGTTACTATAACATTGCTAAGACATTCCTGGATGTTACTGCCCGTCCCCACCATCAGAGCAAGCTCTTTCTCTGATCAACACCAAACACCCTCCCCCGCATGCGCTCGCTCTCTCACCCTTCGCAGTAGAGATAGTGGACCACACATTTTCGGTTGCCAGAGAGATCACTCCTGTGATGTGGGGGTGAACCGTAACAGCTGGAAGTGTTTTAGAAGCATGATAGCAACAAAGCAAGATGGGATGCCTTATGTTTTCAGCTAAGCTTTGGAAGGTATGTAGATGGTCTACATCACGGGTGTCAAACTGGCGGCCCTCTAGCTGTTGCCAAACTACAATTCCCATGAGGCATTACAAGATTGACAGTTACAAGCATGACTCCCAAAGGTGGAGGCATGATGGGACTTGTAGTTTTGCAGCAGCTGGAGGGCCTCCAGTTTGACACCCCTGGTCTACATCAATAGCAAGGACATTATGCAATTTTAATCTAGTCGGCATAGTTTGTTCTTATATGCAGACACCCCTTATGTGAATAAGAAGTTATTTGCTAATTATTTCACGTGCTTTTTTTAACATTATTATCAAATTTCTGTATATTTCAAATTAGTACTGTTTATGCCTATTGAATAAAACATTTGTCCCAGTGTTTTAATAATGTAATATGTTTCCTTTGCTTTTCAGATACTTCTAAGCCGCTTGGTGTGGTGGTATTTCATTGCAGACACATGTTCCATAGAGAGTGTCTGCCTGTTGGTAACACAGTAAGCAGCTCTTATAATCTACTTCAAATATCTCAAATAAGCTGATATAGGCAGTGAGAGAATTGCTGTGCTTTACATGACCCCTGGGATGGCATCACAATCAGGCAGCATCTAAGAGGGGAGATTAAATGACTGCACTATTTCTATGAAGCTTTTGTGTCTGAATAGAATGTTTAGCCAGAATGGGTTAGATGTCCCTTACACATTTGTATATATTTATTTTGAGTGTATTCCACTCACAATGAAAGGGGATGCCTAGGCTTAAAAAAGTTTCTCTACTACAGAAATTATTTAGAGTGCAGTGAACAAGAGTTCAGCAGATTGTCATGTTTCCATGCACTTGAACCTCTATACATTTCTACAAGAATAAATTAGGTTCCGCAGATGTTGCAGCTTTCTCTCAATACAGGCCTATGGAATTCAAGGCTTGTGTAAACGGACATTGTTTGCTTGCATGTGACATTAATTTGAAACTCATATCAAACACGGGTCAGCAGATTTCCATTTAACTCAATGGTACAGTGGTGGATGACCATTTTCAAGCTGCATCTGACCTGCTTTGAGTTGTGTTGTATTTTGGTTCTCCAAATGCAGCATGTCCTGTTGGTGATGCGTTTCCATTGCAGGAAAAGCAGGTTCAAATGTAAAAGCCTGCATATGTCAGGTACTCCAGTGTATACAAGTCCCTAAAATCATAAAGATGCCAGCAAAATAATTGTTGGGCAATTACCAACACTAGAAAAGCTGGCTACTTTTTTATAGTGGCATCTTGGCTGTCAGTCATCCAGTGAATACCTTCTACATTTTTGTTTCTTTTAAAGTGGTTGTAAAGTGAATTTACAACTAGGGACCATTTCTGGCATTGTCTTCGCTCTGCCTCTTATTTGTGTGCCCCATAGGAAGATGTGGCACATGTGCGAGCGTGCTCCCGAGCCAGGCTGTGTGCATTCATAGACACACACAGTGTGACTCAGCCCTGCCCCGTGCTCCCTTCTTACAGTCCTTGACTGACAGCATCAGGAACCAATGGCTGCCACTGCTCTCAGCCAAGCCTGTTAGAGAAGGGAGACCTGCACACAGGCACAGTGCTGGATCAATGTAGGAGTCAGAGTAAGTATTTGGGGAGGCGGGAGGGGATTAAGGAACCGCTACTGAAAGATTTTTTACCTTAATGTACAAAATGCATTATAGCGGTAGTAAACTGCAAAAAAAAAAAAAAATAACTAAAAAAATTTCCCCTGCAAAAAATTAGCATGATATGCTAGTATGCACCACATACTAGCACATTATGAAAGACTTGCCTGAAAATGAACCCCTCCAGCGGTGCGCTGTCACCACCATCTTCACCTGGTCTTCCTTCCCTGTTCACAGGCTTTGGCTACTTGACTGGCCAAGCCACAATGTCGTCACTTACACGCATGTGCACAGGAGTCACAGCCACGGCACGGCTCTCTCAATGGACAGCAAGCAGTCCATTGAGAGTGCAGTGCTCGTGCGCCGGTGACGTCACCGACTGCTACTATAGTAAGTATCTCCTAAGCTATGAAGGTTAATGGGAGATAATTACTGTACCTACAGGCAAGCCTTATTTTAGGCTTACCTGTGAGTACAAGTAAGAAATGGGGCTTTACTGTCACTTTAGGGTTCCACTTTAAGGCACGCCTCTTTTTTTCCCATGAAGGACCAAACATTAGGTTACCTTTATGGCCAGTTCACACTACATGCAATTTAGTTGCTTTTTTTCTGCATCCAAAACGCACAGAAAGTAGGTTATATGGTTGTCAATGTCATAGTTCAGATCAGTGCTTGCAGTTCCAGTGCGTTCCGGTTGCAGAAAAAAAAGTAGAACATGCTGCATTTTTTCTGCACAGAACTGTATTGGAACGCAGTAAAATGCATCAAAAATGCACTGGAACACACCAAACGCACTAGAACGCACATTTCCCTATTTAAATTGAAGAAAAAAGAGGGGAAAACATTTACTGGATTGCATAAAAAATGCACTGGATCGTGTTAACACATCAAAAACGCACTGGAACGCATCAAAAACGTGCATGCGGAAACTCATCCAGAGCGCATTTATTGTAATGCAATGTTAAATGAAGCTTGAAATAAATGCTTCAATATACTCAACCATGTGCAACTGCTTGTACTATGCACTATTCATGTTTTTTCCTATATCATATATTATTTATAGGACCAGTCTACCCAAGCAAATATTTTGGACATGGGTGGTGTCAGGCAGGGTGAATCATCTACAGGCTTTGTATTTCTCTTTTGAACTAAGAAACATCTTTCCACTGAAATTCCCAGCTCTGCCACACCCATCACGGAGGGTTGAATGTTTGGCTGCATTAGGAGTAGCGTTGTAATATAAATAAATTAAAAATTCAACCAAGTGAGTGAGACTACATTCTATAAGCCATAGCTGGTAGTTAGACCAGGATAAGAGACCAGTGGGTTACCTAACCCCGGCACCTACCCAAAACTACTATACATTTTACGTGAACTACACCATTAAATAAAGCGTTTTGTGAGCAGAACACAGAGCTGCCATTGTTAATTTCTCATTCAGAGCGCTCCTGCTGGTGCTGTGGTTCTTGTCTGTCTATTGGCCGTAAAGTGTGACAGGCAGACCCTTTGCTCAGTATTTAGTATACACAAAGGACTTTCAATAACCTTTAATGATTGTGAGTGTCAAGGGGAAGGAAAATATATACATTATCTCACAGAAGTGAGTACACCCCTCATATTTTTGTAAATATTTTATTATATCTTTTCATGTGACAACACCGAAGAAATGACACTTTACTACAATGTAAAGTAGTGAGTGGACAGCTTGTATAACAGAGTAAATTTGCTGTCCCCTCAAAATAACTCAACACACAGCCATTAATGTCTAAACTGCTGGCAACAAAAGTGAGTCCACCCCTAAGTGAAAATGTCCAAATTGGGCCCAATTAGTCATTTTCCCTCCCCAGTGTCATGTGACTCATTAGTGTTACAAGGTCTCGGTTGTGAATGGGAAGCAGGTGTGTTAAATTTGGTGTTATCGTTCTCACTCTCATAGGGGTCACTCATTGCAAAGAACTCTATGAGGATCTGATAAAAATAATTTTTGCCAGACATAAAGATGGCCTAGGCTATAAGAAGATTGCCAAGACCCTGAAACTGAGCTGCAGCACAGCAGCCAAGACCATACAGTTGTTTAACAGGACAGGTTCCATGCAGAACACGCCTCGCCATGGTTGACCAAAGAAGTTGAGTGCATGTGCTCAGTGTCATATCCAGTGGTTGTCCTTGGGAAATAGACGTATGAGTGCTGCCAACATTGCTGCAGAGGTTGAAGAGGTGGAGGGGTCAGCCTGTCAGTGCTCAGACCATACGCCACACACTGCATCAAATTGATCTGCATGGCTGTTGTCCCAAAAGGAAGCCTCTTCTAAAGATGATGCACAAGAAAGCCCGCAAACAGTTTGTTGAAGACAAGCAGACTAAGGACATGGATTACTGGAACCATGTTCTGTGGTCTGGTGAGACCAAGATAAACTTTTTTAGTTCAGATGATGTCAAGCGTGTGTGTGGCGGTAACCAGTGGGAGCAGTACAAAGAAAAGTGTGTCTTGCCTACAGTCAAGCATGGTGGTGGGAGTGTCATGGTCTGGGGCTGCATGAGTGCTGCCGGCACTGGGGAGCTACAGTTCACTGAGGGAACCATGAATGCCAACATGTACTGTGACATACTGAAGCAGAGCATGGTCCCCTCCCTTCAGAGACTGGGCCGCAGGGCAGTATTCCAACATAACAACCCCAAACACACCTCCAAGACGCCCACTGCCTTGCTAAAGAAGCTGAGGGTAAAGGTGATGGACTGGCCAAGCATGTCTCTAGACCTAAACCATATTGAGCATCTGTGGGGCATCCTCAAACAGAAGGTGGAGAAGCGCAAGGTCTTGAACATCCACCAGCTCTGTGATGTTGTCATGGAGAAGTGGAAAAGGACTCTGGAAAACTCCATGCCCAAGAGGGTTAAGGCAGTGCTGGAAAAATAATGGTGACCACACAAAATATTGACACTTTTGGCCCAATTTGGACATTTTCACTTAGGGGTGTACTCATTTTGTTGCCAGCGGTTTAGACATTAATGGCTGTGTGTTCAGTTATTTTGAGGGGACAGCACATTTACACTGATATACAAGCTGTACACTCACTACTTTACATTGTAGCAAAGTATCATTTCTTCAGTGTTGTCACATGAAAAGATAGAATAAAATATTTACAAAAATGTGAGGGGTGTACTCACTTCTGTGAGATACTGTATCTGGCATAGTTCTTCTTGGTGAAAGAAATATACATTTTTGTTCATTCAATATGCATGTAATCGGATTTGTCAGTTAGAAAACTTGAAGTAAAGCCTTTTATTGTGTTTTTTTTAGATGTCTCCTGTTTACTTCTGCAATATCTGTAGTGCAAAACAGCGCGGTCCTGGGAGTGCAATCTTAGACATTAAGAAGTAGCATGATGTCCTTAAACCCTGAAGCTATGAAGCATTTCCCTTATTTGTCATCTTCGGCATCTCAGGATGCTGCTTTGTTTGTGAGATGTATTATACTATTGCTATAAACGTTCTTCTGTTGACAGGCTGACAGAAAACAACTTACATTAGCTATTCTGCTAAGGTCTTGAAGGAACTGTTACATAAACAGTGTCTTAGCTGTAAGTACTTTTGAATACATTATATAAAAACACAAGTCTCTAACTGTCCGATTGCTTTCAGTTGTGTACTGTTAATTATTATTAAAATATGGCAAAATGATGTTGTCTTCATTGGAATACTACAAAATTAGACTATATGAAGAAAATGTGTACACATATGAGGGCATTGTTTTGAAGAGTAAATATAATTATTATTATTAAAGCCACACTCTAGACATATATAAAATACACAATTGAATGCCATTCTGTAATCATTAAAGGCTAATTCCACCTTTCTTACCATGTCACATGTTACATCCGTATTTAGGGTGTAACAAGTCGCCAAGCCATACATCACCCTTTACCCTATCTCCAAGGCAGGACTTTGAGGTTGTTCTTCCAGATGGCTCTTGACACTTTTTACCAGAGCTCTGTAAAAGAATTGATTGCAAGTCTCGTCTGCCAACTGGTATTAGCAACAGTAAGTGAAACTTACAAAACACAAGTTGCCTACAATACAGTACCATGTTTATTATAACAGTGATTAAAACCATATAAAATCAGCAACATTTTACTTGAATTTTAAATTGTGATCCTGTACTTAAAGTGGTTGTAAAGGCTTAAGGTTTTTTTACATTCATGCATTCTATGCATGGAGGTAAAAAAAACCTTCTCTGTGCAGCAGCTCCCCCAGCCCCCCTAGTACTCACCTAAGCCCCCTCTCGATCCAGCAATCTGCACTGGACTTTTGACAATCCTGGGACTCCCTCTCCTCATTGGCTGAGACTGCCAGGATCCATTTGGCTCCTGCTGCTGTCAATCACAGCCAGTGAGCCAATGAGTGGGGGCGGGGCCAAGCCATGGCTCCGTGTGTTAATGGACACTTGGAGCAGCGGGTGCTCCTATAGCAAGCTACGTGCTGTGGGGGCACCCGACAAGAGGGAGGGGCCAGGAGCTCCGGTGGGGGAACCCAAAGAAGAGGATCTGGGCTGCTCTGCAAAACCACTGCAGCGAGCAGGTAAAAATTATGTGTTTGTTATTTTAAAAAAAATAGCCATGGTAATGATAAGGAAGATATACAACCCCAATTCCAAAAAAGTTGGGGCACTGTAAAATCATAAAAACAATGCAGTGATTTGCAAATCACAAGAACCCATATTTTATTCACAATAGAATATAAAAACTGTATCAAATGTTTACACTGTGAAAATGTACCATTTAAGAAGAAAAAAAAAAAGATTTGAAATTGATGGCAGCAGCATGTCTTAAAAAGGTTGAAACAGGGTGATAAAAAAGCTGACAAAGTAAGTGGTACTAACAACGAAGAGTTGAAAGAACATGTTGCTACTAAAAAGCTTAATTGGTAACAGATCAGTAACATGACTGGGTATAAAAAAAAAGCATCTTAGAGAGTCAGAGTGTCTCAGAAGTAAAGATTACTTCTGAGTTACTCTCTCTAAGAGGTTCACCAATCTGAAAATCTGAATCTAAAAATTGTCAAACAATTTTGATATTGTGTATAGAAAATCCTCAGCGCAATAGACCTCTTACAAAACAAATTGTGCGGCTAGGATATAATGTGTTCCCACATGTAAACCGTAAATCAATAAAAAATGCAGCGCAGCAATATAAACCCAAATATGGTGCTAACAATATAAGTGTGCATATATGAATAGTGAAAACAGAAATTGAGTGTTGTGGCAATAAATATGTGCTACACCAAATGTCTTATCAACGCATACATATGGATACCCATAGAGCTGCACATAACAGTGCTGAAATTAATAGTGCATACAAATGCCAAATAAAATGTTCTTAATAGTGGACTGTCACTTTAATTCTCATATTTTCATGTGTGCTTGTGTGGTATATCTCCTATATATTGTAATCAAAATACACCAGCAACAAGTGTCTCATAAATAAAATCTCAAAGCAATGGTGAATCGTCCCTTTAAATCCGCTGTATTCCAAGTGGGTCATTGTAATCACACTACTGCATACACGTACCCAGGGTATGCCGATGATGTCAAGCCGCAAACCTGAAGTGCACGTGTAGCACATATTTATTGCCACAAACAAAATTTCTGTTTTCACTATTGATATATGCACGTTTATATTATTAGCAGGGCTTAAAATTTCAAGTCCTGAGCTACTAGCCAGGCCTTAAGAGTTACTCGCCACCAGTTGCCCCACCCAACCCTTACCCTGCTACACCCCCAATTCCACCCTAAACACGCCCTTGTAAATTATTTAATTAAATTACACTGTTAAATGTTACCCACATTACATTCAGGTCCCCAAAGTCCCCCCACATTATGGGGGGCCTCCATTGTCCCCCTAAACACTCCATCATACTTATACCATACAACCATAACCCCCCATAATCTTTCACTCACAAAACCATAACTCTACCAAACATATCCTACCTACTATCCAACCCAGCAATACCGCTCCGTGAGGACGGCGATGACGAAACGCGTAGGGTAGGGCTTGATTGATGTGACGTCATTACGTTTCCCAGCGATCTACTGCGCATGTGCCGAGTGGCTGGGTTCGTTTCATTGTGATTCCTATATGCTGTTAATGCTGGTGTCGGCTAGGACACCCTTTGAGATAAGTGCAAGGAGTGCATAATAAATGAAGCTGTTTTTTAATAATACTGCACCATGAAGTTTTTGTTATTTCTTCCGAGTGTCTGGTACTACCCCTTTTGGATACGATTAAAGTGATCTCTTGGAGAAGTGGATTTCCTCAGTGGTATTTAATTATAGAGCATTACTTCATTGAAATTGGTCTGCTTGGAGCTGGGTTCTGCAGAATATTACTCCCTGAAGACACATTCATGAGTGGTTCATTACTCTGCTAATACCATCGCCCCCAGAGCAATATATGCTTCAGTTTTTTATAGCTCTGGTGAGTTTATTTAGTGCTTTTGGTGGTAGATTGTCACATTTTTTTGTGCACTTTTCTTTGGATTTGTACTACACATCCTAATTTGGACTGTTTTTGGACACTTTTTTTTATATAAAAAAAAAAAATTTTAAATTATTTATTTATAATTATTACTCACATGGATAATATTTTTTATATTTTCTTTGTTCCCAGGTATAATTGTAATATTTATTTACTGGCGCAAATTATTTTTGTGTTGTTTAATACCTCAAGTGCCCCATACTCTACCACCCATAATAGCCACATCATCCTGAACCTGACCAAACCACCCATACATGAAGATGTACATACAGATATATGTACATACACACACAAACAGAGACACCTGTACACACATACAGACATGTACATACACACACAGAAACGTACACACACGCACAGAGACACATACACATCCTAGATTGTAAGCTCGAAAGAGCAGGGCCCTCAAACCCCTCGTGTATTATTTTGTTACTGTACTGTCTCATGTACTGTCCCCCACTATAATGTACAGCGCTGAGCAAACCTTTTGGCGCTATATAAATACTGTATAATAATAATAATAATAATTATAATACAGACACATGTATACACACACAGACACATTTACAGACACATACAGTAGGGATCGAAAGTTTGGGCACCCCAGCTAAAAATTTGTATTAATGTGCATAAAGAAGCCAAGAAAAGATGGAAAAATCTCCAAAAGGCATCAAATTACAGATTAGACATTCTTATAATATGTCAACAAAAGTTAGATTTTATTTCCATCATTTACACTTTCAAAATAACAGAAAACAAAAAATGGTGTCTGCAAAAGTTTGGGCACCCTGCAGAATTTATAGCATGCACTGCCCCTTTGCAAAGCTGAGACCTGCTAGTGTCATGGAATGTTCTCAATCATCATCTGGGAAGACCAGGTGATGTCAATCTCAAAGGTTTTAAATGCCCAGACTCATCTGACCTTGCCCCAACAATCAGCACCATGGGTTCTTCTAAGCAGTTTTCTAGAAAACTGAAACTGAAAAATAGTTGACGCTCACAAAGCTGGAGAAGGCTATAAGAAGATAGCAAAGCGTTTTCAGATGTCAATATCCTCTGTTCAGAATGTAATTAAGAAATGGCAGTCATCAGGAACAGTGGAAGTTAAAGCAAGATCTGGAAGACCAAGAAAAATATCGTACAGAACAGCTCGCAGGATTGTGAGAAAAACAATTCAAAACCCACGTTTGACTGCACGATCCCTCCAGAAAGATCTGGCAGACACTGGAGTTGTGGTACACCATTCCACTATAAAGAGATACTTGTACAAATATGGTCTTTATGGATGAGTCATCAGAAGAAAACCTCTTCTACGTCCTCACCACAAAAATCATTGTTTGAACTTTGCAAATGAACATATAGACAAGCCTGATGCATTTTGGAAACAAGTTCTGTGGACCGATGAGGTTAAAATTGAACTTTTTGGCCGGAATGAGCAAAGGTACGTTTGGAGAAGAAGGGGCACAGAATTTAATGAAAAGAACCTCTGTCCAACTGTTAAGCATGGGGTTGGATCAAGCATGCTTTGGGGTTGTGTTACAGCCAGTGGCACAGGGAACATCTCACGAGTAGAAGGAAAAATGGATTCAATAAAATTTCCGCAAATTTTGGATGGTAACTTGATGCCATCTGTGAAAAAGCTGAAGTTAAAGAGAGGATGGCTTCTACAAATGGATAATGATCCTAAACACACCTCAAAATCCACGGGGGATTACATCAAGAGGCATAAACTGAAGGTTTTGCCATGGCCTTCACAATCTCCTGACCTCAACATAATTGAAAGTCTATGGATAGACCTTAAAAGAGCCGTGCGTGACAGACAGCCCAGAAATCTCAAAGAACTGGAAGA